AAGAAAATGTTCTAGCCGAAGCATCAGGGGAGAGACCAGCCGGCCCCCAGACCATATCGGCTAATCCCTTGCATCTCTGCCACGCACGGAATCGGTTGAAAAAATACTGTTAAAAAGTCTAGTCTATAAGCCTTTTCATAGTTTAAGAATCGATTCCACTGCGCATGCGATTTTATCCCGATTCCTCACCTTCTTTTGTCTAAACCTTCTTTTGTTCTTAATTAAACRAAAGAAGGTGAGAAATTCGGGATAAAATCGCATGCGCAGTGGAATCGATTCTTAAACTATGAAAAGGCTTATTCGGTGCATTGTTTTCRTGGCTATTGTTATGCTGATTCACCTGGAACCGTGGTCCAATGGATAAATCGTTGTCGTTCAAGACACTGAGTCAAGGTCGTCTGAGGAAGGTTAGCACTTGGATGGGTGACCTAAACATTATACTTACTCACACTTTTGCTCATTTTTTCCGTTTTTCTTTTTTTGTTTTGAGTGTCACACAGGAGTGTCTAAATGGCCGGCAGCTACCAAAGGCAACCCAGTAAAAAGCTATTGGAATATTAAAGGTCGGAAATAGTTTTTATTTTCGAATAAGGTGTTAATTTTTTGATATTTGGGCTGGCGAAAAAAGCTGTTTCAAAAAAATAATTCACCTGTCATATATAAAGGCGCCGCCATGTTGGAAGAATTTGGCAGATTTCTAATGAATTTTTTTGCTATATTTTGCGACATGATGGCCATAGCTTTTATTTTATTCTTTTGGGAATGATTGCGAAGCAAGAATATAGAAAATATATCAATCGTTACTCCAAACGAGGGCCAGAGCTGACTCGGTCAGACGCGTAGAGTCCCTCTTTATGGTAGTTAAAGAATAATTTCATTCCCAATATTCAGTCGAGGAAATATCTGACGTTATTCGAATCTGCTGAAACTCGCTTAGAAAAGTGGTAACAAACATGAAGAAAGCCGCGGTCATCGTCCACTCCGCGATGTTACTAGTCACGTGACATATATATCCGGGATCTTTGGGACCCCACTTGAGTTTGGCTAAATATGGAGAGTCAGGTCTCCTGTTGTCCCATTCAATATGTGCTATGGTTTGAAATATAAAAAAGATAATAAACGCGAAGGTCATGATAGCGGAGAGCATGGTTCTACTGTGACAAACCGCTGTGCTGTTGATGACACCGTGGTCGCGTAACTTGTAGGACATAAGTGATTGAAGCCAGCAGTAGATTAAAGCACTGACGAAGCCTGTAAATGCACCAATGTTGTGAAAGGAAATTTCCTACAAAAGAAAAGAAAGAAACTTAGCGTGCATTGCATTGTTGGGGGTTTCATGAAACACGTCGCTTTGATATCCTATACTGAATGCATCATAACGCTGTAGTAAATGCTTGCATTCTGACACTAATTCAGAGATCTGAAACTTCTTGGATACCGGAATGGATCTGCAGATCTCTTTACCTTTGGGCGTAATGTTTCCCGTTTCTCGACCACGTTTCATTCTCTTGAGATTAATATTCTTTGTTTAAGTGTATCCATAATTGCCGTGTYTTCAGTCTCATGCTCAACTGTTAAACAAAAAATTATACTCAAGGGAATGACGCATGGTCTGAAATGRGAGAACATTAAGATCAAGGTAAAGAGGTATTATTATTATTATCATTATTATTATTATTACTATTATTATTAACCAACACCGTTCCCAATCTTACCCGTTGTATCTCAAAATTCGCTACTAATGTCATCGAAATCCCAGCTAATATTCCAATTCCAAATGTAAATTTATTAAGATTTTCCAACTTGCTATGCTCCTCTCTGCACTGCTCAGCTACCAACTGGTACTGCATGTACCGAACGTAAGCGTTTGTTATAAACAAGAATGCGGCCAAGTTGTTCAATTCGCGAAAAATGTATTTTTCTGGCGATAGTGCTCCTGTGTCGCTGATAGCTGGGAAGAAAGGGTAAATGTGTCCATGTATAAGAGCCACGCTGTATGAGCAGCTGATACTACTGATAGTCAACACCACGAAAAGAATGCACAACCAGCCAAGGCCTAAGTCTGGCAAACCCATTTTGCGACCGCTGACCAATGATGAATTTGGCATGTGGCTCTTAGTCACACAGCTAGTTCGTTGGCCAACTACTCTGAATAATAGAATCATGAGAAAATGTTTGYCAATCGCTCAAATAATAGAGAGTTTTAGATTGACTTTTTTTCTYCCCGYAAACGGCAAACGTGACCACGTTTTCATAGTTTTCCTKTATTTTACTTTACCTTTTACAAACCTTCTCACCAAGCACAAATACTCTTTTGTTTTTCTACTACTTGGACTTTTTTGCGATTCTTTTTCAGTAATTTAAAAGAATTTYTTACTGGTCAACTGACGTTTCACGTTTBCCGTGAACGTAAATCTAAAACTCTCTAATACGAATTTAAACGAACCTTGGAGAAAAGGCGTCTTAATATTTACACTTTTCCGCAATTAACAAACCGCATAAAATTTTGCTGTAAGATTWAAGTTGTTTTATTATGACCAATACCAGTGTTCCAAAAACGGCGTTTTTTTTTCCTTCCACAAAAATATTGGTGGGGCGAGAGGGTAATGTACTTCTACCCTCCCAAACACACGCGTACGAGTTTCATCTTTAGAGTTTCCCGCCAAATCCACGTGTTCAGTAACACGTTTCAAAGGGGCAGTCGCTCCCCCTGCCCTTTTTTGCTACGCCACTTAAATTTACCAACAATAAGTGCAAGTCAAGCGAGTCGTAATAAGGTTACATTATAAAGTTATAACTATGGTCACAATAAGCAAAAATCGCTCWTTCAATCTTCTGCCATTTCTGGTTTTTCAGGTAGACGCGTGTAGCATTTGTCGGAAGTCAAATTTTCCCGCTCTTTTCCGTCTTACCGGCACCAGCAAAACGAATTCTTCCAAACGGATGGATTGGTTTAAATCGTGTTAAAATGGTAACGACTCTAGTAGAGGTCTCAGGTCTCATAAACAACGCAAATTTAATATTGTAGTTTAAAAAATCAGTATTCGACGAGGTCTTGAAGAGAAATCATTCTTACGATATTAAAAAAAGAAATCAATTACCAAGTTAATGATTAACAATGTCAGCTGAAATCGCGCTATTCATTGATTGCCAGACATCGAGAATAAGCGAAAAGTAATGATATAAAAGTGAATGTATATATACTTACTTTTAACGTTCCATTCACAATAAATACACAGATATATCTATCTAAACGTTAAAATTCAGCTTTTATATTGATCTTTCTATATCTAGAGGTTGTAAAAACAATTTCTATAGCTTGCGTTTGTTCATTACGGGTACCAGTCAGCTTAATCATATTGTTTTGATCTCAATTTTAAGTTCAACAACTTATCAAGTAGAAACAATAACACCGTTCTCTGCTACGAACAGTACATTATTTAATTGAAAAAAAACCCTTTATAATTCGTTTTCGCGGTGGAAGGTTTTCGTTTCATGAAAATGTTTTTCCATTTCTGTTTTCTCGAAACCGACTGTGGTTTCTGGATTCAACAAAGTTCGAAAAACTTAGGTTTCTTTAAGTATTTTTTACCGGTACACTAAGCGATGTATTTATTTTAAGATTTCCATTGGGTTTACAATTATTTAAAAATATACATTTTTTGCTATACAAGAAAAAAGGCCTTTAATTCTTTTTATTTCAGCCTTCCATTTCAGTCTAGAATTTCATTCACTAAAAGCAGAATTACTGCAAACTTTCAAGTTTGTAAACGTCACTTCTCTTCTGCACTTGAACGGGAACCTGTGAACGCACTTGTTCGAGGTATTTTAAATCTAAAATGAAATAAAAACAGTTTCATTTATTTTTAGAGCGACAGAAATATTGCGTGTTAGCATTACATGTGATAACGTGACACATCGAAACATTAAAGCTTCAGGACACGTCACTACCAAAAACATCTCGATATCAAGGTACAAGGAAAGGTGTCCATCCAACGAACCAATCAGAGCGCGTGAGATTACTGCTTACTTGTCCAATCAGAATGCCTGGACGTTCAAGGGACAAAAAGAAAGTAGTCTTACCGATTTCAGCATATATTATCTGCTCTGTGTGGTCAGCTTTTGAAACAATATCACCCCTGTACAACATAAAAAAAAACCAGAAATCTTAAGATCAAAGGAAAGGGAAACGGTTGGAAAAAGGAAAAGAGAAAAAGGAGAAAAAAGAATGGGAGGTGAAATAAAGATAAGGGAAAGGATAAAAGAGAAGGAGATCAATTATTTCCCTCTTAGACTGGTGTTACAAGAGACAATTTGCACTGCGTAACATAGTGCGCGGTTACGGTTTTTATCAATATTTTGGTTGCGTCAACATGTTGCAGGTTTTTGTAYGACTTAAAAACTTATAAACTCACAACATAGTTGCCATCAATTTGTGTTGCAGCACGTGCCATGTTACACAAGGCCAACTTTTAACGCAACAATGTTGAGCTAAAAATCTTCTTGTGTAACAACATCTTTATGTTTGCTAACATTCTTACCATGGATTTATTACTGTACTGTGGCCCCAAGCTACATACGTAGCTTTCTCATCTCTTGCAGGTGAGACAGCAGCAACGTAAAGCTAGAAAAATACAGAAAGAAAAAATTAGAAGATGGCCTACTGGTAAAGTAATGACAACATCACAATAATATTAGCTCCAAAACTCAAAATACCTGATTATCTAGAGCTCTTTGGTACAGGAATGCATGGTAGGTCAAAAACAAACAAACAACAAGTTAATAAATAAACTAGAGACAAAAAGACGGACAGACAGACAGACATATGGACAGACAGACAGACAGACATATGGACAGACAGACAGACAGACATATGGACAGACAGGCAGAGGCTTACATACGTATAGACAAACAAAACAGACAGACAGTCACGGTTTTAACTATGTATCTAACCTCCCCCTGATAAGAGGCTCCCAGTGCACTGGTCCAGTTGTCATATTGAAAGCGCCAGGGTAGAACAGGAGTTGACAGCCTGCAAAATACAGACCATAAAATTGTGAATAAAAAAAATCAGGATTTTTCTGGTAATTCTTAAATTACAGTTAATGTAGGTTAAGACTTTGTGTCATCCCGCTCTGGGCTTTGCCAGTAGCTTGGAAAGTAGCTTTGTAGAATGGGGGCTTAAGGAGAAGGAAAGGAAGGAGGAGGGCTACATCTCCGCTCATCTCCCTAACCCCCCCATTGAAGGGGCACTTTGCAGGCTAATAATTTATTTGATAAAGCTGGTTGTTACCTTTTTTAGCATAAAGCTGAGCCATTTCAGGAAACCTCATGTCATAACAGATACCTATCCCAATCTTACACAAGTCTGAAAAAAGGGAATGTATAACAAACACTGCTCATATCAAGTAATAAAAGAATTGTACAATGTCACTGYGTTCCTATCCTCATACCCAGTTGTTCTTATTGTCATCATGTTGTCAAGCAATGTATTTTCATGCTTGCATAATTAATGGCCCTAAGGACGTCTGAAAAGGAGAGAGGGTACTGTGTTCCCTGATCACAGACTTATACTCAGCGTTATCCTAGTTTCAGCTTCAAAAATAGATTAAAAAATACCAAAGGATGCACAACTTCTACAATACAAACAGTTAAAATTGCACAGTCCTTCAATGGAACACATGAATATTCTAAACAAAGTGAAGGTTAACCTTGTTGAGAGAGAGAAAAATCAAAACTAGTGTATTTTCATGCTTCTTTATCATTCCAAACTTGAAACTTTTAGAAAATGGTTTCTGTACCTGTGTCAAATACAGTGAGGTGATTTCCTGGAGACAATACCTCAGATTCCTGGAACCGAATCTTACCAGGAACATCAATGTCAAATAAATGAATCTGAAAAGATTTCAAAAACATGGTATGATCTGAGTAAAAATCAGTCTATCCCAAGAAAGAATGCCATGTCATATATAAGGGACTGCCTTCATACACTTGTATTCCTCTCAGGTTGAAGGGAGCACCCCTTGAAATTGTTGAGGCTTTGTGGGGCCTATAGATTTGTAAATATAGCAGACTGGTAATTAAGACAGTAAAAGAGAGTGCGGGGGAGGGGTGGCTGCATGAAAGTTTCACAAATAGTGTAGAGGCTCAAGCTCCCCCTGCTACTCACTTTCAATGGCACTTTTCAAACCACAGGTCAAGTCTACGATAGATGTTCCACTTCAAAGCTGTGCATAAACACAAACTTAGGGGGTAGAGGAGCAATATCAAAACGTTTAGGAATGCCCCCTCCTGACCCAGGTGTTAGAGACCTTAAGATCTGACGATGAACGAGTACAAGTACGAGTTTTTAACTTTTGAAGAAAGGCACTATCTTTTTTGTAGTTGTGATCGTGTATGTAGATTGAAACATTAGATTGTAAAAAATAGGAAATCAACTACGATTTAGTGTTAACCACGTGCACAAAACCAATTTTAAAACTCRTACTCATACTCAATCTCATACTCCTCATCGGATCTAAAGGTTGCTATTAATAACACATACCTTTCTGTGTTTGCCTAACAAGTTTCCAGCTGGTCCATATGAGAGAGAGGTGTTGTATAGTTTACCATTGGAATCCTTCTCAGGAATGGATCCACCAATTATGTATGCTTCAGTTTCCTTGGCAACCTCGGAGAGCATATTTGAACTCTCTCCAGGGATTTCCTCTGCATATTCAGYGAAGTATGAAGTACCATATGGGGAATTGAAGCATTCCTATGATTTTAGACATGAATAATTGTAAATAATGGTAACTAATGATAAATAATAATTAATGGTAAATAATTTTATCATTTCTATCATTTATAAGTAGGGATGGATCCAGGAGGTGTCACTAGGTGCACCATACACCCCCAAGCTGCTTRGTATTGTTTTGGTACATATATGTCTTATTTATATTCATAATTTCTGTTTCTCAAATCTTTAGTCTGACTCAAGATTAAATTGTATAATATTAAATCTAAAAATAAATTTAAGAACAAATTAAATAATTCAAATTAGGATTATTGATGATGTTACTATGTCATCACTTTTGTTTTTATGGATCTTCCCCTGATAATTATAACTAAAYTTTATTTAGGCAGGGTGGGCCATTCAGTATCTTGGCTGGTACATATCCTTAAATATGACATAAAGTGCACATTTGGAACAATACTCCTGCAGTTTTTGAATTATCTGTTGCTCAGTCTAGGGTTAGCCTCAACTTTGTGTAGAATATTCGTTAAGACTTTGTTGAAGTCATGCATGCATAGCTTCTCCCCTCCCCTCCCCCGCCCCCCATTATTTTGTTTTGATATATTTTGTAAATATTTTTTTGCAGAAAGAGGCGAACCCTGCTTAATGTATATATGAATTGTTGATATTTGTGAATTTTAGTTGTAAATTATATCTAAATGTATAATATCTTGAATAGTAGAATTATCTTACAGGAAGTGCAACAATCTTCGCTCCTYGTGCAACAGCTTCTTTAATCTTTTCCTTAGCTCTCAGCAGATTTTGTGCTTTGTTTGCTGATACTGCAAGCTGCACAAGTCCAATGCGAAACACTGCAAATATCATGATTTCAAAATATGATATAAATGTAATGACAGTACTATTAATTATTTAAACCAGCTATACTGAACTGGGCATCTCTGCTTAAATATTGTCCATAAATAAATAAATAATTAATATCCAAATTATTTGTAATGAAAAATGTTGTTTGGAAAATTTAGAACACTTTTCTTCCATTATAGAGGCTTTGCACCATCACATGATGGCCACCATCTTAGATGGTAGGAACAATACCATCGTTTTACATTAGAAATAATTATATTCCTGAGAGCAAGGGAATTTTATTGTTCTGCCATCTAACCACAGGCAGTCCAAGCTGTATTATGGGTGCTGGTGCAAAACCTAAATTCCCCTACAGCCCCCAGATGGTGGCCTGATTTTGGGATAGAACTAAACCTGTCATTTAAAATAGTTACTTAGACAGTTGTAAGACACAACAGCTAAAAATGTGCAGTGCAATGCCTACAGATTTCTGGAAAAATATTTTACTCTCTTAAATATATTTTACAACCTTCCCCCTCTTTAAATCATATCCATCATCCCCCCCTTCCCCCTTACTCTTCCTGACAGCAATGAGACTTCATTTTATGAGTACAATTTGAGCGGTTGGGTACGTTGGGATTATTAATTCCTATAGCAAAATTTCATGCTCTTTAAGTTTGTAGAATATGAAAGATTTTAGAAAATCTCTAGCAAAACTACTGTTACAAATTTTCTTACCAGAAGCCGCCATATTGATCGTGCATATGCTAATTATTACTCCAAATATGGTTTTTATTACCATATATGTAGTTTAAATTACCCTTGTCACGTGTTCAAAGTATCCAAAAAAAAGCGCGCGAAAGTTCACTTGAGGAAGAAAACATGGCTGAAAACTACGTATAGCAGGATGTTGCTCGTTCGATAGGGATTTTTTGAGATCTGTGGCATGAAGATTGTTAGATGACAATGTCTCCGTTTGTAGAAGGTTGGGATTTTATTGAAACGCTTGGTGAAGGCGCTTATGGCGAGTAAGTTAGTGGAGCTGTTTGTTTCAGCAAAACCACATGGTCGTGGCTCAAATGTTATGGTTTACTTTGAGTGGGTTTTATCCAATGTTTTTTAGAGAATTTTTCGTTCGTTTGGTTAGGGTTAAGTTGGCGGTGAATAGAGATACACAAGARGCAATTGCTGTGAAGATTATAGATCTCGATCGTGTAAAAGACGCCAGTGATAACGTTAAGAAGGAGGTTGGTTATCCGCTTTATTGAACTTGATAAACAGTAATTTCTACGAAAATAAGTTCTATAACTTACTTAGACCATTCATTCACAAGTGTATTATRACACTACAGATAAAGGTTGTATTGTGACGAAGAACGTCACTTACTTTGGTTAAAACAAAGCGACGCAGATAATCTTAAATATTGGATTTTTGTACTTAATTTACAATATACAAGTACTACTACAAACATAGATAAAAAAAWTTTTTTACAGTGATTTTCTTTCTGCAGATTTGCATACATCGAATGCTTCAAGATGTCCATGTTATCAGGTTTTATGCCCAGAGAACAGAAGGCAGTAAACAGTACTTGTTTCTTGAGTATGCATCAGGGGGAGAGCTGTTTGATAGAATAGGTATTTACAGTGTATATTTAGGTTTTATTTTTAAATAAATAATAACAATTTTGGTTGAAGTTGATAATAAATTCATTCAGCCTGTTACAGCACTATGAATGGGAAATGGAACAGTACAACAGGTTTTGCACAACAGCGTTTGCACTAATTCCTAGAAAACTCTTGGAGTTTGAAAATCTTYGAATTTTGGGAAACTATTTGAAACTACTTCAATTTTTAATAAATATTATTATTATTTATTATATTTATWTTTATTTTTCATTTTTATTAGATTCTACATTTCAATGTTTTAATTTTGATTTACAGAACCAGATATTGGAATGCCACAACCARTAGCACAGAAGTATTTTAAGCAGTTAGTTACTGGTGTGGTCAGTATGATCTAAAAGACAAATAATTAGAAAATAAGGCCTTATTGGTTCAGCAGGTGTATTTTTTCACTTCCTGATGCCTTTGTAAGCCCAGACAATGGCCTCCTTTGACATCTCTCCTTTGATTGCTGCATAAGAGCAGATATTTAGCAGCATGCATCTGGACTATTCTATTACACACACATAAAAATAAAACAAGCTCGCACTTTATCTATAAAACAGTACTTAGTTTATTTTGTACTAAATTGTACAACATAACATCACTGTCTGTTGTTTTCTAATATTTCGTCCGTGCTGTTTAGTACTAAGCAGCACTATTTATATGATAGTTTCAAATCAAAAAAGCAAAAGTTCCCTGCAAAGGAGGCTATATAAAACTGTCTAAAATAATGAGTTCTAATGTACTAATGTACAAACTAGGTAGATAAGCTGACTGGAAATGCCTATGTAATTACTAATGCTTATGTAAGACCTTCCATTAACCCGACATGTCCTCCTCTATGTAGTCTAGATTTCTATTATCAAAGTCATTATCCACATCTAAATGTTATTCTTTYAGGAATATCTTCACAGACAAGGAGTCACACATAGAGATATCAAACCAGAAAATCTTCTTTTAGATGCTGATGGTAAAATCAAATTTATCAAGTCCTGCTTCAAGAATTAGCCAGTTTCTAAGATACAATTTATTTTATTTTATTTATTTATTTTTTGTTTCCAGATAATCTCAAAATAACAGATTTTGGCCTAGCAACAGTATTTAGGTTCAAAGGAAGGGAACGGTTGCTAGGGAAGTGTTGTGGTACTCCTCCATATGTTGCGCCTGAAGTATTGTTGAAGTGTGATTACCATGCAGTACCTGCTGATATCTGGTCTTGCGGAATTGTTCTCGTTGCTATGCTGGCAGGAGGTGTGTGTTAGGGGACTAAAAATACTTAATAATAATAATAATAATAATAACTTTATTTAAGAAAGTTTAAAAAGTATTTATAAAATACACCAGATTTAGCATTGAAATAGCTAATCTTACCCTGGGCCTTCTGGAAATTAAATTACAAATGTGAGAAGAAAAGAAAAGAAAAAAAATATAAATAAATGAATAATAATTATTTGCCTATTTAAATATATTAATAGTAATGATTATTTGCTTATTTGTCATTCTTAAGATATAAAAACAAGAGTAAAAAATATGTATACAAATATATTGAATTAGTTAGTAATGTAGTTATTACGGCGCTTCTCAATTAACACGCCAAATTATCAATRATTTTTTAAATTCCAATTCGATCACAGTGCGAGGGTCACAGGTTTGTTAGCCRCTGGCTATTAAGTGCTACCYTCATGGGAAAAAAAAGGATGGAGATATGGGATTGTGTGATATGGTGAAGATATTTAGCAGTAGCATTGCCAAAGGATACCCAGCCCAATATTTCATAGCTAGATATTSTTTTTATTATTAATTTTCCAAATGTTTCAGAACTACCTTGGGATGAACCAACAATAAAGAACAGAGAATACCTAGACTGGCTGGATAACAAGATCAATAGAACACCATGGGTCAAAATTGATCCACAACCTTTAGGTTTGTCTAACAAGAGTTCAATTCCTCTCCTCCCTCCCCTCCCCTCTGTTTCCCAGTCTCCAGGCCTCAAACTCCTGTGCAGTGTCCCTCAACCCTTGACTCAAATTTCCAGCTGTTTCATGCACCCACATACATGTAGCCTTTCCCATATTGCAGCTACTCAAATCCCCAACTTCCGGAAATTTGAACCTACCACAATGCCTCTTGATACTCAGGTTAGAGTCAGCATATAACGTCTAATGATAAAGTTGTTTGCATGTATATACTAAGAAGTTAAYATCTTATTTTGTAGCTCTTTTAAAGAAAATCTTATTAGAAAACCCCAGTAAAAGAATAACGATACCAGGGATCAAGAAAGATAAATGGTTTACAAGGTTAGTAATTTTAAACTGGTTTTAYACAGTAATTTGAAGTGGATAGGCAATTATTGTTTCACTGCTTCCCATTTTTTTAAACTTTTTTCCAGAACATTTTCTGTCATAAGAAGTCCTTCCTGTAGAGATGGTAAGCTGTTATTTTATCAAAAATATGCAGTAAAATCCAAATTATACTCAGCCARGAGGGTTTTTTAAATAACTGGCAGGGAGAGTTGGGATGAAAGAAGGARGAAATGTTAATTTCTCTCTCATAGAGTCCCTATCAAATTTTGCATCATGAATATCAGTGCTATAGTTTTAAATTTATAGATATTTTCATATAGGAATATGTAGCTCTCCTTGCGACTCTCCATCTAGTACTGGGCCATTTAAGAGGCAGCGCTCAGAAGCAGATACCCCTGTCCTGAAGGAAATCAAGTATGTACCTTTCAATTCTAATAAACATGTCTAGAAGCTGCTWATGATAATTTACTACAGATTAATCAAGTGCTATGCATTTAAGGAAATAATTTTCCACTATGTTTCTTATTCATATTACTGCCATTTGCATTGCTACRCAGCCACCCCAGACAAAAATTGTGATGTGCCCTTTGCAATAGACTGCCGTCAATCAAACACGTTGACATTATTTACATGYGTGTGATTCAAAAGGAGCCAAAACTTGTYGATTGTTTACAAGTATTATGAGATACACTCACCGGGCTTATATCTGGGCCGATCCAAACGCATATAAATGATGTCAACGTGTTTGATTGACGRCAGTCTATTGCAAAGTGCATGTCGCGATTTTTGTAAATGCAAATGGTGGTAATGTATGATTTATACAGTCATGAGAAATGATTAGTATGTGAACCTTTRTAGAAACTAACAATGTCTATGTGTTTGCAGGGACACTCACATTTCTGCTTCGCAACCTGAACCTCGTCGTCACCAAGATATTTATGTAGGGATGGGAGGCACTACTGACGAAAGCAGCCCTAATGAGGCATTATGGTTYTCGCAACCAGTACATCCAGATCACATGCTTCTAAGTAGCCAGATTGCCTGTACTCCTGGGAATTCACAGGTATAGCTTATGTCTTAGTCTAATAAAGCTTATGTCTAATATTGTGGCTTAAAAATTTTTTTTTTTCATTCCTTTTCTAGACACCATTCCAGAGACTTGTCAAGAGAATGACAAGATTCCACAGTAAGAAAAACCAAGAAACCACTCTACAACAACTCAAAAAGGCACTTGAAAAATTAGGATATGATTATAAGACAAATGGATCAAAACAGGTAYGAAGTTGACCTTTCAAAATTGGGATCCCTGTGTTGAGACACCACAGGAAGCCCGCATAAATAATTTGGTTTGAATAACAATCTTTTTCCTTTTTCAACAGCTTACTGTTATTACTACTGATCGCCGCAAGAACAAATTAAGTATGAAAGTCAATCTTATTGATATGAGTCCTTCACTGCTAGTGGACTTCAGATTATCAAGGGTAAGACATCAAAAAGTGACACAAAAAATTGGAAAATAAGATTAATCTTTTTATGAAATTTTGCACTAATAACTYATCTATTTTATTTTATTATCTTAATAGGGAGATGGTCTAGATTTTAAAAGACATTTCCTCAAAATCAAAGCTTGTTGTAAGGATATCATTTGAAGGTGACACATCTATGAAWAGTAATACAAAAGATATGATACATGTATTTAAACTAGAAATATTTTTTTAAGAATGCGTTACATTACCACCAGAGGTGGGATACAGTTGTTATAAAATGCTTTCACATGGCATACCATGGAGTATCTCACTTGTTTTTTCTTAGTAAACACACTCACACAGGAAAAAAAAAACAGATTCCCAAATTGGGAATKGTTGGGAATTTCCTTGAATTCCCAATTCAAACACCAACGTTGGGATTTATTGTTGGGAATTTCCTTCTAATACCCAATAGAAATTCCAAACAAACTAACATTGGAAATCAGTGCCACGTTCCCAATTTCGTTCTCTCTGGGAATTGGATGGGAATTTGTTGGGAATTCAAGGAAATTCCCTACAAATTCCCAATTTGGGAATCTGTTTTTTTTTTCCTGTGTGAGTGTGTTTACTAAGAAAAAACAAGTGAGATACTCCATGGTATGCCATGTGAAAGCATTTTATAACAACTGTATCCCCCTTCAGTTGAAGGCCTGTGTTTACCAAAAAAAATGAAACTCATAAGATATTCTATGGTATACCACTYGAAATCATGGAATATATAATTATTATTATATACATCTTCTAGAAGAAAAAGTATAAACATTTATAAACCAAAGTTACAAATACTGTCAGAGCATATATTTTCCAAAGAATAAATACTAAGTGATTAAAAAATGTAAAAATAGTTAGCAAAAAAAAAAAAAAATTTGTAAAAAGCAAGAAAAAAGAAAAATACAATAAAAAATTTCGTTCTATTTCAGATATGTTTATTTATTATTTTTGAAGGCTTATTAGCTAGTAATAACACTGTTTCTTTAAAAAAAATCCAAAACTATTCTAGTAATTCTTATTTGGGATATTATTTTAAAGTAAAACATTCAATTTGAATTTGTGCATTGTACTCATAAGATTATCGAATGCATGTTACAAAATAATATGAAACACTATGTCTATGGACTGGTATATATACATTGTGGAAGAGTATTATGTAATATGGTATATCATTGAATAGAAACACAGACCAAATGTTTTGTTAGTTGTTAAAGTTCTTCAAACATTTATTTATAAACAAATTTCAATTAATAAATTTTACGAATTCTTCATACATTTTGTGAGTAGAAATGCAGCTTATGCCATTATTTTTACTCTTGTTCTGGTTTGTTGTGGATGTTGCGAGTTCATTTCATGTGATGTTGTTCAACATCATAGAAAAGCCTGACCATCTGATATCTGATGAAAAATGCACCACAACTGCCAAGGATCTGTGAAACAAAAACAGGCTGGGATTAATGAATGATCAAAGTCATTTAGAATGTTGGATTTTTCAAAAGGTGGAAAACTGGAAAACTCCCCCCAAAAAGGGAGATACCCAATAACTCTACCCACGTAATGCCAAGTCCAGGAATTGAAGCAAGACACAGGTGATTAACAACCTCCAAACAAACCAAGTTTGCAGTTGTTTATTACTAACGAGAAGATGACAAGCATACTGTAGATTGCATCTACCCATTAATGCATGTTTAAAACATGTTTTGACGTGATGTCAAAGTTAAACGTTTTCTCCACTTGCTTAGTTTWAAAAAAAACATGCTGCCGCTACACTTGAAGGAATATTGAGTCTCACAAGTTTTTAGCGAATGAGTATGAAGGAAATTATTTTAGCAATAAGATACTTCTTTGTTTTCTCACCATGAAAGTCCTCAAGTGAGCACAAAAAACTTTTAACTWAAATAATGTGAAACTTTGACATTCGACGTGGTGTCAAAATATGTTTTTTGCACATGTGTTAACAGCAGATGCAACAGTACCGATGCAACTGACAGTATGGCATATTACGAAACTCACCTGTATTCCTAATATTATGCATACAAGAGTCTTCTCATGCAGTGGACCTAGTATCTTAATAACAAAGTTGATAAGAGTGAAGTTACTAAACGTAGTGTATTTTTTATCTTCTCCAGTGTTATGCTTGACCTCTATCAGCTGCAAAGTTTGAAAGACATTGATAACGAATCTGCCCAAAGGATTTAAGTCTGATGTCTTGTACACTGCTTCACTCATTTCTAATAAACCCGTTTCCTTATTGATTCTGAAACACAAAGAAAAATTACTGTGAGCTTTCATACAGTGCAGAACATGCTAATAACTAGGACATAAGGTTCACACATGGACATAATGTACCATAGACTTTGTTATGATGCAGCAAAATGCAATTGATATATTTTACAGTGATGACATAGAGAAAGAGTAGGGGAACTTTTTGTCTTATCTGTAATGTTAGGGGGATTTTGTGTGATTTTCTGTGTTGCTTACAAACCTACTGGCTATTTTGACCCCTCCCTATGTTACATTGTGAACAAACATCTATATTTGCTATGTTGCATAAAGCCATAGCTACAGTTGCTGCATGCAGGCTAGTATTTGCAAACCACATTGGGATTTTTCTCTTTTCAATGACTCGTAAAGATTTAAGCTTGGACTGAGAGAGCTAGTCAAAATCTCAACAACACAGTCAAATAATTCACAATACACATATTTTTAGCGTACCTTGGCAGTCTGTGCCTAGGACATGGCACAAACTTGAACAATTGTGGCAAAGAAAACCCAAAATTAAAGACTTGAGGAACAAAAAATAATATCATGGTTTTACTGAAGTGACCAAGGATACCAACTACAGCAAATGTCATCCCAGCAAAATAACAGAAGGTATCGCCAACAAACACACTAGATGGGTACCTGGAAATGACAAAGATTAAAGACTCTAAATATATTTACCAATAGCTTTCACTTAGCCTATAAGAGGTGATTAAAAAGTATATCAAAAATCGAATTCTTTCTGGTTGACAGCACAGGGTGGTCAGTGTTCGACTACCATTTAGAGAAGTCAATAGATTCTTTAGCTGATTGAAACCCATCAATTAGAAAGTGATCGTTTTTATTGGTGGTTTTCATATTTAATTTGTTGCTTCATTACCTTATAATATAACAAAATAAAATATCTTCATTATTATTTATTATTTATTATTATTATCATTATTACTTATAGATACATTAAATTTTAGCATCCTAAGTAATAATTTATTTAGTTATTTATATAATTTAGTCATTCATTTATTTATTCTACAAGTTAACAGTTACATGACATAAGAAAGCTGAATGTGTAGTTCCAGAAATCATCCATATCCACCCCACAGAGGAATTTGGAATTTGGAAGAGTAGGGGGGTCAGAGAAAGAACAAAAATTACAGAGTTTGTATGAAAGAAAATTGGAATTTCCGGGGGTAGGGGGATGTCTTAAAAAAATTCCTCCATGAGGGGGGTATGGATAATTTTTGGAACTACGCAATCACACCTACCAGTTATAATATAGCAGCGATGCACACACTGCAATAAATGGCATTATGAAATACAACGAAAACAAATGTGCCTGCCAACAACAAGAACCTTGTATTTCACAAAAGTTGAAAATGGCTATGGAGACAGCAATAATGAGGGATTGTCCAGCTTCAACACCATTAATACCAGCCAAAATGTTGATAGAATTTGTACAAAATACTGCCAGCATGCCCATATATACATAGTACAGTATTCCTGTTGAACAATAACATATAAAAAATCAATACTTTTCAAATGAGGGTAGATTTATTTTCCACCATTTTCATTGCTAAGCACTGATTGAGACAAAAGTCACAAAAATTTCCCATCCTTTGGTTACTTCAATACCAAGTATTAAATATACATATGAAGAACAATCTGAGTTAACAATTTTTTTGATATTGATCAAGGGAAGTTGAAAACCCAGTTATCTGGAAGTTATATATTATGGAGGTCATGGACAGAAATTTTTGATGCAACAATAAGTTAGTCATGAATCTAAAAGAAACAATAAGTTAATTGGTTACTATCAATAGATGTCCCTTATGGTAATATTGGTGTTTTCATTGGGGGGCAACTAACATTTGGAAGCTTGGAGGATCTTGGAGGTTGTATGAGTATCTTGATTTCTGGTTTCAGGCAGTAGAAATATTAAGATAGAATACTTTGAGGACTAATTTTGACATCGGTTTCTAGTCTTATATTAATTGCTCCCCAGTCAACTCCAAAACGTCATGTGATTGTTAGTAAGCAATACTAAGAATCACCTTTTTTTAATCAAAAAAAAATTTCAAAAAAATTTCAAAAAAAAAAAATTTCAAAAAGAAAAAAGAAAGAAAGAAAGAAAGGAAGAAAGAAAGTAATCAATACTGACCAAGGTCAAGATCAAATCCAAAGATAAACCTGAGTGGCTTGGGAACAATGATTGTCGTGATACCAATATTAACAAAGTAGACCATGAGAAGAGGCAAGGAAGCCATGGTGGGCAAGACAAGCTTGTCTCTCCATTTAAGGTCTAATACATCATCAGCAAAACCAAGGAATATCATACAACAGATCGACAGTAGACCTGCTATGAACATTACAAACTGAAAATGAAGAAATGGAATATGAATTAGTGAACAATATGAAAAAAAAGGAATTGAAATGGGAATTGAAATGCAAACATTTGATCATAACCATATAAATGCAACTGAAATCCATATTTAACATCGGAATTAAAAAATTTACAAAATTTATTTTTCAAAGCTTAATTTCTTTTTTTAAAGTGTATATGACACGAAAACATTCCATCATTTAAAATGTATAGTTTGTTAGTAATAATGAATATATCGTAACAAAATTTGTTTCAAAAGCTTATTTCTTGAGATATTTGCGAAAGTTAATCCCAATTTGTGACGTCATTTTGTTGACACGTACTCTAGATTCAGTAGTAATGTACTAAATATAAATTGTAATTCATATAGATTAACAACAAAAGACATATTTTAGTCAGCTTCATTTGATAGCTTACGTAGTACTCTTCCAATGTTGGGAAATTGAAAAGTGTACTACTTGAAATTAAGATTCTATATTCAAACATATTTCGTGTATTTGCAACTAAATCTGGAGACTTGTAAACAAAATGACGTCACAACTCGTGCTAAAWTTTTTTGAATTTCTAGAGAAATACGTTTTTGGAACAAATTTAACCGTGATATTCTTATTAATGCCAATAAACTACACATTCTTAACATTAAAATTTTTTCGTGTCATATACACTTTAAAGAAGACTTGATAGCTACACAGCAGAAAATTTTAAAAAGCAAAAAAAATTTTTTTTAGATCCCCTCAATTCTGAGTCACACAAAGCTGAAATATAAGAATGCAAAGATGGAACGAATGAGACTGATCTTGATTGATATACAAAAATTCCCTATTCAGGTGAGTGTGTAAATGAACACAGCTGTACACACACATGCAAGAATAATGAAATTAAGTGAGTTATAACATTAAAATTCATTAGGTAGTACAATCACTTACTTCATGATGAGGAAAGTCATAGTCTCCCTTCTCAAACCAAATGGTCAGAAAAGGTAATGGAATAAATAAGAACAGACATATCAAATACAGTGCACCAGACACCACACCAAGTCCCTCRGGGCTGCAGAGACAAGAAGGAGCTATTACTCTGGGTTCAACATCAAAATCAACATGAGAGTTGAGAGTTGCATGAAATATTCGAATGTTGGTTGTGTATGTGAGTGGAATTGGAGATGTTACGTAGTAGCATATTATTATTCTCAAATACGAGTATAAATAAGAAGATTATTGTTAAAAAATATTATTACTTTATGTACATTAGAATTACGACTTCGTGTTTATCTAAGCACTATTTACCACGAATATAGATCATGGATGCCACGTATTAAAAAAGCAAAATCTGAAAGACTTTTTATATTTATTAGGATATTATAAATCTTTATTGATGTTAGTCCATTTCATAGTGATGGACTACGATACTATCACGTGATAAACGCGTGAATAATAACGATACATTATGAAATGATCATTACCCCTATAAATTACGCTTATTTTAATCAGTGTAATGATGATGAAACATAGTCAAATCTTACATTAGTTCGTCGTTCTCTTTCTTGTTTAGATCTTTGCCAGCCATTCCTGCAGCTTGAAACAGTCCTTTCATTCGAGGGATCACCTTCATTGACAATGCAAATGTCATCAAAGACATCAAAAAGTTCATAAGTAGCGGGAAAACCATTCTATAAATCATTCTGATTGATATTTTAATGCAAAAATCCTAAAATATCAGGAGATCATGGACAATTTCTCCCAGCAACATGAACTACAGACCACCGAACTCTCATGGTCAATACCGCTGTACATTACAGCTGAATGGATTCCGTTTCCCTATTGGTTAAAATCCCGTCAATCATGTATCAGATAAACAAACGTGATTGGATGAGTCTTGATGGCGCGTAAATTTCTCTTTTCCAAAATTTTGTTGCTTTTCTTTTGAAAACAGTTTTGCGTTTGTATCTCCAAAAAGCCATGAATTTTTCCTCTTTTTAGACAAGTGTAGTCTGGTTTTTATTGCTAGAAGCCTACTAGGATAACAAGGTATGTGTAACGTGGTTATTTTCATTGAATAAATTATTTATTGTATTAACATTTTTGATTTTCTTTTTTCTTTTTGTCTACGCCATCTTGTATTTTTTTTGTCTTTCCGTTTTGAAATTGTCGCTTGAGATTGAAATGAAAATAAATTGCCATCAAAGTGTATTGAAATTCAAAATCATTTACACTTTGCATCTATTCTTTGTTTGATGCTATTAAAAGAAAACCTTACAAAATGGGTCAATTTTCTTTTCTAGGTAAAGAGAGAGAGTGTACAAAAAACAATGGCGGAGGGAAGACATGTCAATAACATGCCAAGCAAAGCCGACCTAAAGGGAGGAAAAAGCAACCATGCAGGTCTTCATGCTGAGGGCAGTCGAACTGGTGCACATATCCATCATGACAAAAACAGAAGAAGAAAGAGTATAGCTTCACATATGGTGCATCCCATTGCTGGAGAAACAATGAAAGAAAGACAGGTATATTGGTAGGAAGAAAGGCTTGTCTGCTTCCTCATTTCTTGTTGATTTGTATACTTTGAGTTGCGGTAATTTTTTAACCTTTAAGGAGAAAGTTAAAAAAGTCAACTTACTCGGTAACCCTCAACCCTGGAAATGCAAAAAAATATGGTTTAATACATATTTAATACTTTGTTATTTAGAAAAGAAATAGAGAGAATCGGGAAGCACGAAGGAAGAGAATCGTCGAGGAACACAAATACGTCATCAAGATGGTCAGCCATTTCTTGGACGGGATTGAAACTAATGTAATGGAAGAGTTCATTATTGAATCTGAAGAGGTATAATATCATGGCAAAAAATCTTATTTTTTGGAAGTAGGGAGAGGAGCTCTTGCTAACGTGGGGAAGGAGATCAATCTTTTTTTGAGGGCGAGGGAGAGGTGGGCAGSAGCTCTTGCGAACTAGATGAAAGAGGGAGGCTTATTTTGGGGTTAGGTTCTTGATAACAAGGGTGGAGGGGCGTGGTAGCCCCTCAGAAACAACTAAACAGTCATATCCCATCTACTTTCTTTTGTTTTAGTCGATGGATCTGTTTGATAGCATGCTAGCTGTGGGAGGGAGAAAATCCTTGATGTTTTTCTTTCAAGAATGTCGTGATGAAGCGACAGGTGAGTCCTTATCTTCTTGATTCTAGTTGATCATTTTTCGTGCAYAGTTATCCCTCAAATATACTCAAAGTCCGAGGTAAAAAAAAAAGATTTTCGATAAAGATTACCTGTACGCAATAACCAACACTTTTAGCGTAACTGAAGCGCAAGAATGGAAGCTGTCTTCATATATATATGTCCAATTTCATGCTTTTAACATTAAAATAAAATTATTAGACAATTGCCTGACTGTGCAATCAATTTGTCAACGCAGAGGCCCGTGCCCGTGCGATAATGCAAACTCCAAAGTCTTCCAAAGCATTCACCCTTCACCTCACAGATGGCTTGCAAGAGGGGCTAAAGGGAATCGTGGTATATTGCATAAGGAATGACAACAAAAGGGAAGTGAAGTTGAGAACGATCGGTGAGGTAAGCAACGGAGATTTGTAATTGTCCGTAAGCGTTACAAAGTTAAGAAAAAGATAGAGAGGAGAGAGAGAGAGGGGGGGGGGGGGGCGGATTAGAAAGGTAAGGGAATGTCACATCGTCACTTTTATTTACTTTTACTTTTAAAATGTCAGTGTCTGAGTTGCTGAGTGGAGCAATGGACGTCAAATATCTGTTGTTACTTATCTTCTTTTGCAAAATTATGAAGAAATTAAGAGATTTTAATTGTTTTGCAGGATCTATCGTTTGGAGTGATTGACTTAACGCAAAAGGGATTGATCCAGGCGATAAAAAACCATTTGACTGCTGTATACGTGCCTGCCATACAAGCGATGGAAAGGTGGGGTGACTTGAGCGATACTCCACAGGGAGAAGAAACCAAAAAAGAATTCTTGGACTCACTTGACTCCTTTGTGCAGTTCACTGACAGTGAGTACATGGTTATTAAGATCAAAATTAGCTTTTAACCTTCTCTCCCTCCCTCCCTCCCTCCCTCCCTCCCTCCCTTCCTCAATCCATCCACCCATCCAAAAATCTATTCTTAAGTTCAGTCATGCATTCATTCATTCATTCTACTTTTCCCTCTCTGCTCCATATTCTGTTTCCAACTTCACCTAAACATTTTATTCCAAGGTGCAACTGCTAGCGCAGAAATGGCCGTGGTCTTACATCCCTGCGAAGCCGTTGACTTCAGTGAGTGTGAGACGCACGCGGACTATCAGGAAATCGCAGCAAATCAAGAAACGGTTGCCAAGCTTGAAGAACTGGTAGAATGTTGGTGCAAACAGATAGAACAGGTAAATATGACGTCATTTTAATAAAGATATGACGGCCTCGGAAATCTCCACTCAACCTTTTCCTCCTATGCTCATTTTCTCCTCCATGTCAACGCATTTTGTACTTTTTAAACTTGCTTTACTATAGGTGTTGGCAGAAAGCGAGCAAATGCGGCGAGAAGCCGATGATACAGGACCTATGGCAGAACTCGAACACTGGAAAATGAGAATGGCAAAGTTTAATTCACTAGTGGAGCAGATCAAAAGTCCTGCKATTCGTGCTGTGATTAAAACCCTTCAGTTAGCTAAATCTAAAGTCTTGAAGGTACGATAAATAGCCCAACTTACTTTGGATAATATATTATCAAATTGAGCTTATCCTCGCAGTATATGAAGCAATTTATGCATCTGCAAATTGAAAGACTCAAAAATTGAAAATTCCAAGTCTTTCAAAAAAATTTGAAAAAATTCTGAGTATTGAATTTAATAATATATTGCTTGGAACAACTCGAATATTATTTTCTTATTATGATTGTATACAATCGTTTGAATGTATTCGAGACAAATATTACTTAAGGTTTATTYTTGTAAGGAAAAAAGTACAAAGAAAAATGTTTAAAAATGGGACAAGGAAAAAAAACACGTTATTTACGTTTGTATCTTCTTGGAGCGTCACCGGAAAAGTGATAATTCTCAAGAGAAGGTCACTCTGAAATGAAAAAAAGAGTTCTCTTTAAGTTACCATCCTAGTGATGTATCTCCTCGAGAGTCAGACGAAAGAGTGAAGGGATGAGATATGAGATATAAAGAGTATTTTCGTTCTTTTTTCAAGGTATGGAAGAAGCTAGACTGTCGCATTACTGACGCAGCCAATGAATCTAAAGATAACGTCAAGTACCTCTACACGTTAGAGAAGGCCTGTGAACCACTGTACCGCGCTAACCCGGTTAGTATTAGGTGTTATAAGAAAAAACTGCACGCGAGAGAGCGTGATTGTCAAGAAAAGGTTCCAGTCTCATTTCACAGCCTAAATTTTAAAAAAATCTATAATGTGAAGATACTATTTTTCAATCTGAATAACTAAATCCCAGTCCACATACACCAGCCCATTTAGGCCACTAGTTTACTAGTACAAAAAGTGCTGCATCCCTTCTTATGARATGAAATTGGTAAAAGACGTGGCGGCCGTGTTGGTTGATATAACAAAAGAACCCAACACTAAAATGGTGGCAGCGAAATCCCATGTGGCATCCCAAGAACCGATAGAATCTAGCGCGTAAAAGTTGGGAAACGAAGTGTTATATAGCGTCCCATTTGTTGTTTGATGGAACAGGCTGGAATGATCGAGTGCATCGCAGTGCTCATCAATTCTATTCAAATGATCCACGCCATATCAAGATACTACAACACACCACAGCRGATGACAGCGCTATTTATCAAGGTAGATATATTAATTTTTATTTTGTACACGCATAATACTGGTAACAAAAAAGTGTAACAAAATTTGTGTAATAATGTTACGTTATATGAGTTGCAGAATGCTGCTACGACCTTGCGCGCAATGAGCTTACTTTGTTGCAGAGAGTCAGTCAGCTTTTACTTCATGCATAGAGGATATAAGACGGTGGCGCGAAGACATCAAGTTCAACACAAGAAGATATGAAGTTAAACACGTGAAGATAAACTTTATATCTTCAAGCCAACGTATAATCTTTTTATTATATTCACAAACACTTTTACGAACAAAACCTTGTTGAAACCATTGGAAAAGACGTCATCGACATCTTCACTTGTGAGGATATGGAAAATATGTCACCATTGTCCCGGATGTAGTTTGTATGAAAAAAACGAGCTGCGCGCAGAGTGGAAATACGAGTAACATTCGTTCTGCAACGGCAACTCGACAATGTTGGCCGTATTACCGTACCATACGTTACATGCTTGTCTCGTAAATCAAAAGTTAAGTTGCTTTTACCATCAACTTAGACCTTACATTTCATTGGTGCACAGGTGACCAATCAGATGGTTCGAGCGTGCAAGAACTTTGTGACTGACAGAGGAATGACACGCGTCTGGGACCAACCTCGTCAGCCACTCATAGAGAAGCTGAAGATATGCCTGCATCTCAACGAGGCGTACCAGACATGCTTTCAGAAGACCAAAGTGAGGATCTCTCAGGATCCAAGTCAAAAGCCTTTTGAGTTTTCTGAGATGTCGATATTTGGGAAGTTTGATGCCTTTTGTAGAAGAGTGATCAAGGTAATTAAAGGATCTGGGAGAAGCTGACCAGAAAACCTTGTGAAATTTTTCCGCAATCGAGTTTTATGTACACCCGGATTCATCTCCTTTTTTTTTTTTTTTTTTTTTTTTTTTTTTNTTTTTTTTTTTTTTTTTTTTTTTTGCTTTCGTGCAATAAATATTTTTTGCAAGTGTCTACATAATCACGTATTACAAATCTAAATTATTTTATCGCCAGCACGGCGATCAAGAACAAGATACAAAATATCTACTCGAAATATTGCTTGTATAACAAAGCCCTTCGTACAAATAATTTACAAAATCATTGTTTTTCTAACTGCAGTCAACACATATGAGTGATATTATTTTATCMTACTTACAGATCATCGAGGTCCTGAATGCATTGGAAACATTCTCAGTGCTCTCCAAGTCCATGATCGAAGGCATCGAATCAATGGCCTCCAAGTTCAATCACATTTATTCAACGTTACGGAAAAAGCCCTACGACCCACTGGATCACAGACGACCTGACTTTGTTTCTGATTTTGCTGAGTTCAAACGCCAGATCACTGAATTAGAGGTAACATTTCTGAAAGCACCTGACTTTCGACTTCCAAAAGAAACTTACGCATTTAAGATTCATTCAAGAAGTCGTATACTGCTATTAAGGGATGGGTTACGGAGCAGAAGAGCTCATAKATTTCCACTGACTGTCCTCTTATTTATCATAGATAACGTCTTAAAATGTTCAAAAGTCAAGTGAAACGACGAGCCCAGCTAGCAGCGCGCGCTTCTTCCATGAAATRATGATAATGTCGTTACCTTGAAGCCGGATGAAACACTTGTGGCAACTAGTCGTTAGACTACCCCCTCTCCACCCTTCCCCTCTGTTGATTGATGACCAGCCCTTAATAGAATACCTATATGACTATTTCATCCCTTTTTCCAGATTCACCTTCAGAACTTCATGAATTCATCGTTTGCGAAGTTCAAGTCCACCTCAAACGCTCTCGACTTGCTAGTTAGGTAGGCAAAAAATACCGGACAGTGAAACGCATCCCTCAAAGCGGTATTTAGTCTTCAGATCCAAAGCTGATGCCAGATACATTGTTTTAGATTTGAGAAGCTTGGAATTCCAAGACTAGAAGGACCAATAGAGGCAAAGTATCAGGAACTGTTGATGACATTTGGCAAAGAGATTGAAGTCGTCCGTAAGGTTAGCCACTTAATTTGTTTAGCCCCTCACTACTGTATAAGAATTATTACAAACCATTGACTATCTATAGCTAGTCATTCTTTTACACTGTTCATCTTGTTATGATAGATTTATGCAGCCAATTGCAACAACCCTCCATTAGCACGTGACTTACCTCAGATCGCAGGCAGCATCAGTTGGTCTCGACAGTTAATGAGGCACATCCGTGATCCAATGAACGTGTTTGAGGCACACCCGTCATGTCTTAAGACTAAAGAGGCTCGAGTCATCATCAAGAACTTCAATCGAATGGCGACAGTTCTTGTTGAATTTGAGGTGATGTATCATCGAGCTTGGGTGAAAGAAGTTGAGATTGCTAAGACTGGTATGTATAACTTAGCTAGCTGGTATTATGCTATACACGTATATGACCTGCTTTCTTTTTTAGTAGCAATGATATGAGTATAAAATATTTGTGTATGTCGTTCTTAGGGCTACAGGCTTCTCTTCTGGTACGCGATCCCAACACGCGTGAACTACTTGTAAACTTCGACCCTCAGATCATCAAACTCATGCGTGAAACTGAATGCATGATGAAGATGAAACTAGAAATCCCCGAGAATGCTAAACTAATGTTCATGAAACGACACATCCTCAAGAGGACTGCTGATGACTTGAAGGTAGGACGGGTGCACGCTGGGTAGTGTATCTTGGCATACTTCTGTGAGGTATGGTGCGCTGAGCCTCCTTCGCAAACGTTCTTTGTGTCTGTAACGCAACGCTATCCTCCCCACGAAAAGTTGCGTGACAGACCCTAAGAATGTCTGTGTAGGAGGCTAGGTGCGGTGATACGCGCCACAAAGTCGTACAACCTGTGCGCAAAATCGTTGCCATATAGATATGCTTTCAAGAGTTGCGCGCAGTCAATATATATATATATATATTTTGTTTATAAAAAGTCAGAGGCAACTCTTTCTGACGAAAAGCATTTTATTTTCATTTTTGAGTTATATTTGTTGAGAAGAGTAGAGAAAACATAGATAACATCGGCGCATCTTTATTCTACAAAAGATGATGATTGAAGATGTAAAGAAAGTGAAGGACAAGATTCCAAGTATCTTCCAACCTCTAATGTCTCCGCACATTGAAAGGGTGAGTATTACGTACTGAAATTGTTAGACCAAAAAGCACCTTTCTTATTTATTTCAATGCGCTTTACAGTCAATTAATATATACACCGGTATTTTTTACACTACTGTCGACAGGTCGAAGCTGCCATTAGTCCTGGTGTCATAATGCTAAACTGGAACTCCTTGAATATTCAAGTCTACATGAAAAACGTATACACTAGACTTCGGCAAGTTGACTTACTCGTCAAACAGGTAAATCCTGGACTCTCAATCATCAATCTGTCTAAGTTAAGACCAGCCCTGGTGTACTAGTACACCCTGAGTGTAGGTGCTGGGTCTAATAAAACTCCCTAACCACCATCCCCACCCAATTATTTATTTGCACCGTCAAGTAGTCAAATTGGGTATAGCTATCTCTCCAAAACTGATGGAAGTGTGGTTCTTATGGTATTCTTTCAAGATAAATGACATAAGAGATGCAAGAATCGATGCTGTGTTGGACGAAATGAGCACCACCACGCTCTGCGAGCTTCCTGGCGATGATCCATGGACGACAGAACAGTTCCTAACAAGAACAAAGGTATTCATCTATACTGTCATGGTTCTTTTCCGAACAACGAAGATAATATAATCATATAAATCTAGTACAATCTATGAGTTAAACGATCAGACACATATCATAAAGTAATTCTCCCAACAATAATCTGATGTAGGGATTGTTACACAAAAAACTTTCTTGAGCGCCATAGATTCATAAACGAGCATCAAGTGGAGTAAGTCATGCAAATGATTACAGGCTCTAATACTAATATGCAACGATTCAGCTTATTTTCCACTACACTGATTGCAGCCAGCAATATGCCAGTCAACTGCAAACCGAACTGTTATTGTCATTTGATACTAGAAAACCTGTGCGTCCATGGGAAAAGTCCTCGATACACTGAGCTTGCGCGTCGAAGACGCTGTTTACGAAATCGTGGATATTTTCAAGGAGTCACTAAAAGAGATAGGCATCACGGAGCTGGGCGCAAAGGCCAAGACGGCTGACAAAGAAAAGGAAAAGAAACAAGACAATAAAGAGGGCAAGGACAAAGAACCACCGAGAGAGAAGACACCTAAACCCACTGATGAAAAAACACTGGAAGAAGAGATAGAAGAGTTGATAATGTACTTCAATCACAGGACGTTTGAAGCACTTCTGAAGTCCACGAGAAGTGCGCTGGATGGCATCAAACGACGTGTGTTTTGTACTAGGTAATCTCAAATATTTCAGTTCTATATCAATCGTCCAATCATAGTGTTTGAATAAAGAAGCCATTTAACTGTTACGTATTGAACGCACGTTTCCTCCATAAGAATCTGCTATGCACTTAGAATAAGACTCAAATATATGAAAGGAAAGGTAGACAATGTCATTAGTATACACTCACGTTTTTTTCGGTTTCATTTTTTTAGGGAGAAGAATGGGGTAATTATTATTATCAAAACCTTCAAATGAGAATTAAAAACAAAAAATACAAGTATTTGCACTCAAGATTCCGATTCCTGTCGGAGATCTCTCTTGTAATGTTTTTATTAACTATTGTTAACTTCAGTTCTACAAGGACATTCTCCAAAGGTGCCTTCTTTGGAAGTAGTGGAACTCCATCCAGTTACATCAAGGGGCCTTTCTTCAAGTCAGAAATCACCTTGGCTATCCCTCAAGTGGTAAGATTTAGTGATGGAAAAAAGTCTTTTTCTGCCCTGCGTTTTGGTTTTAGCTCCAGCGCGCAACTAAGCCTTGCAGAGGGGAAACACCTCTTCTAGTTTGGTAGTGATAGGATGATATAGTTGTGTGCTTGAAGCATCATGTTTTGAGTCTAAAAGAGTTTGGTCTATTTTCTCATTTTTCTGTCTTTCCCAGATCATCCATCCATCTTTAGAAGACATCCAACAAACGCTGAACAAAGCCTCTCAATCTGTGTTAGAAGTCAGCCGATCTGTAGCCCAGTGGGGCCAGAAACGATTCAAAGTTTTCATGATCATGCTAGAAGGAGACAATCTTCTTGGACACAACAGAAAAACAGAACGAGCTTCAGAATCTAGTAATAAAATCTATATAGATAAAATTAGGGCTAACTGACCAAATACAAGCTGTGATAGGCCTTCAAATATTTTACAGGGGGTGGGGATTTAAAAGGAGACAAGCTAGTAGGGAGGGGAGGGTAGATCATATTAAAGTGCTCTACCAATTCTTGAAATTCCCACTTGCTATGAGAAGGGTGCTAGAGGAAAAAGAAACCGCAAAAGTCATTAGGGGAGGGGTGGGTAGATAGAAATATTAAGTCACGTGAGCCTTCTTTTACTTTCCTATGGGAAGTAAAAAAGCAGTTGGGCAAAAGAAAGTGGTATAAGGAAGAGTGACTTGAAGCAAGCGGGAAGAGTAATGGAGGGAGTAATGGCGTCGGTTGAAAAGGATAATTCTTATGCTGAATATACTTCTTGTCTCAACAGAAGAAGAACTCCCTGCGACGAAGCTAAAGAACCACTTCAAAAGTGTATCTGAACACAAAGACATCACCAAACTGTTGATGATCATAACCTCTTCAATCAGCTCTACAAAAGCTGAAGTCATCAAATGCTTGGAGCAGTTCAACGTTTACCAGCATATCTGGGAAGGGGACAAAGAAAATGTTGTCAAGGTAAGCTGTTTTAAAAACCCCTCACACCTAACACACACGGTGTAGGTGGGAATCCCCCCCCCCAAAACAATAAAAGTAAAATAACCGAATCCAGCACTTAAATATATTAATCTGTGTTTAAATTTATTTCAGGCATTTGCAGCCACCGATCCTTTGTTGTCAGAATTCAAGAGCGAGATCTTGAGATATCAGGCACTGGAACAAGAAATCGATAATATCTCGCCGACGTTTCGTGTTGGTCATGGTGCTATCGAGTTATACTCAGGTATTACATCTCTGCTTTCTCCTGCTCTCCCTTGCCGTGCCGTGCCGTGCCTTGCTCTGTTCTCTTCTCCTCTATTCCCTTCTCTTCCCTTCTTTTTTCTTCTTTTTTGTTCTGTTTTTCCTTTAAACATTTTCTCCATTTCAAACCATCAGCAATTCCTTTGAATATTATTATTCCTTACCGGTTATCTTCCGCTTCTCAATTTCTCATTACGATTTTATTTCAACACAGAGTCTTTCAAGATCGCTTTATCGGTGGAAACCAAAGCATGGAAGCTCCTTTTTGGTCACAGTATCAACGACAAGTATCGTGTTTGTATGGATGAGATCACACAGTTCTTATCCGACTACAGTAAACGACTAAGCAGGCCTATCAACGACCTGGAGGACGTGCGGAGTGCAATGGCTGCTTTGGAAGATGTTCGACAGAATGAGATTCGAATCGATATGACTCTAGGACCTATTGAGGTGAGAATGATCTTCTCAATCCATACCTCTACATTCAAAATGAGTGTGGTAGCTATACGAGAAACGAAATCAGTAGTTTGACGTCTTTGTCTAACAACATTTTTCTTTTTTTTCATATCTGAATTCTGCCGGAGTAGGAAGCGTACTCCATGCTGAACAAGTTCGAAGTAGCTGTGGCTCGKGAAGAAGTAGAACGTGTGGATACGCTTCGCTATTCCTTTGAAAAGCTTCTCTCACAAGCGGTATGTAAAGAAATCTAAATCCATACGTAATGATATATTTATGCTATAATGTTTAATTTATTTAGCGCATTTTCCATAAAAATGCGCTTTACAAAATTGAAACTACATGTATATACCTCCCCAAATAATAAATACTTCAATCTAAATTCCTATAGAGATAAAGAAATTCTAATTGCTATGGAAATGATAAAAAATAAATCTATTCAATTCCTAAAAAGTATTCTTTAACAGATAGACTACACTTTCATATTTGGGCGTCTCTCTCTCTCTCTCTCTCTCTCTCTCTCTCTCTCTCTCTCTCTTTTGTTATCTCAGCTCTTAATGTTTGATGTTATCATTTTCATTTAATAATGGTTATTTTAAACCATTCTTTCCTTTAGAGAGGTGTTCAAAGCCATTTGGTTGAGATCCAGCCCAAATTCAAATCTGCTCTACTGGACAGTGTGGAAGTATTCCAACATGACGTCTTCTGTTTTACCGACGAATACCTCACGGTAGGCGCAGCATCATTGTTACTGTTTAAGGAATGGTCAATGGTTAGCGTGCGTATATCCTTTTCTGCATGCACACAATTTATTTCTAACGAAATCTTTATTACATAGCGCGAGCTACTCAATCACGTCAGCGTGCACCATCCACTTCTGGATGCACGCTTGCGCACGTTAATTAACCAATCAGAGCGCGCGTTATATCGTGGCTGTGTTATAATTTCTAATGGTATAAAATGCAACGTCCTGTTTGATTCATTAAAGCAATTTTGTTCTATAGGCTGGACCAATGGTTAGTGGCATATTACCACAAGAAGCTAGCGACAGACTAAGTGTATTCCAGGTACTATATATATTAGCCTATAAATAATACTTTTTGGTATAAAAATGAGAATAGTCTGAATACCAAGGTTTCATCAAGACAATTGACCCACGAGTATTGCAGGTAGTGTTCCTATTAGGTCTATAAATGATACTCTTTGGCAAAAACAAAAAAAGGGAATAGCCTGGATAGAGGTTTATCAAAACAATATAACAAAAAGAAGAAATTAGATCACACGTGGCTCCCTACATGGGTACGATACTTCTAGGAGTCCCCAAATTCAATAAAAGAAAACAAAAATGACAACCATTGGTACTAACTCTGAAAAGCAATACACTTGTAGCACTTTTGAGACTCTCTTACAACCATTTGTAATTTCCTCATACACAGAGCCGTTTCGATGCGTTGTGGCGCAAATTCATCACTTATAGTGGCGGAGAACAGTTGTTTGGTCTGGAAGTGACAGATTACCCAGACATTGCTCGTATAAAGAAGGAACTTGGCTTGTTACAAAAGCTCTATGGCCTGTACAATGCTGTGATTGATGGTGTTAGTGGCTACTATGATATTCTGTGGACTGAGGTGGACATTGAGAAGATTAACAGCGAACTCTTGGACTTCCAAAACAGGTTAATATATTATGTCCATCTAATATTACTATTATTACTATTACGTTCATATTTTTCACTATCTCTTTAGATAACATAGTCCCTCCTTTTAAAGAGTTCAAATAGGCTACACATTACTGGATTCCTTTYTGCCTCTAATCCTTCTGTTCTTTCCCACCATTTCGGCTCTTGCTTTCTTGCCTTCTTTTGTTTTTTCCTTTTATTTCTCCCTCTTTTCTTCTTTTCTTTTCTTT